AGAATGACCTGTTTGACCTCCCCCGGAAATGATTCTGAATCTCAATGAATATCAATCCGACGCTGCCAATCCGACGCTAGCTTCACTTTGGTTTAACTAAATACATTGTAAATTTGGGCTTAGACTATGAAATTTAAAAGAGCAAAATAAAGGTTCAATCAGATGGAAACCGTTCGTGCTGGTCACGTGGTAGTATATGTAAATCAACCACGCTGGTCGAGTATGATATTGAAAATGAATGATCATCTAGCTCCTTAGAACTTCATTCTTTATTAAGAACTAAGTCTTTGTCAGCTTTGTCTCGGGATGTCAAAAGCTCTCTTAAAACTGTTCGACAATATCACCTAGTAACAAGAAACCCAAGGAGTCGAGGAATATTTTTCGAAGCTTCTCATCATCATTTCCGCTAGTCAATCTTTACGCTTTGAAATTGAATTGAAGCCGTAAAAAAGCGATTAAGTCATCTGATTCCAATTGTACCAAATACAATAAAAAGCTTCTAATTGACTGTATTAGTGAGTGTGTTGTTTAATGGCTAACCTGTGTATCCTGGAACCATGTTTGCTGTTAACTTGTTGTCGCCATTCGGTTGTGGTAAATATAACGATCTTGTGGTTGTATCTTCAAGTTTTGTCGTCCTTAGTTTTTCATTTCGTGTGTGTCTCTAAATCACAAATAAAATAAAAGTCAGCCTAAAACGGCTTGGAATATTCTCATCCAAGAATTGGTTTTTTTTTTTGCATGTAATATTTTAAGCTATTTCATCTCTAGTGAGTGTATCGATCATTATATGTTATTTTTCCTTATGTTATTGAATTGAAATCGTGTACTTTTTCCTTGAAGTTTTGTTTTTGCAAGTTCAATGGTGTGTTCGACCAAGAAATATCAATCAAATTTGGATAAGATGTATAAGAATTATTATTAGATACAACGAATGAATTTTTCACGCAACGACCTACAATATTAATACATTGAACTAGCTCCGTCTCATTTTATAAATATATAAGCTTGAATCTTTTACAGTAATTTTTACTATACTTACTGTAGTCAGTTTATCTGTAGCAATACCATATGTGTGACCACATTCGYATTTCAGTTGCGGACAGTATCCACGATATCTGGAAAATAAACAAACATAAACTTGATTTTTTATTTTATGGAAATTTTAAGTGCTTTTCATGAAGTACAGAGGGTTTTAGAATAAAAACCGTGAATAACAAACATGAATTTTCCGCCTCTTTTTATTTTAAAATAATCGGTTTGAAAAACAGAATGACTGACTTTTAAATGCTTTTCGTGAAATATGGATAGCTGTAGAATGAAAACACTAATGATAACAAATGCGAATGACTAAAGAAATGAAAAAACTGACTATGAGACGAAATTTTCTACCAGCTTTTCCTTCTGTCTAGACTAGATTATACCTTTATCTTTACTTCTTGAAAAATTAAATTTTGAACACTAAAATGGCCTTTAGATCTCAGTAGATACGGTAAATTATCCTTGAGTTAGTCCCTTGAAAAACGCGGCACCTCGTGTTTGCTGGCTTGATAGATACTAATTAAAAGAAGCGAAAATACTAACTTCATGGAGTGATTATTCTAAATAAAAACATAAGTTTTGTATCATCTTACCCAGGAAGATTACTAGCTACATGAGGGTTCGTTAGCTCCGTAAAACCCATGTTGAATTTCGCTCTTTCGTTTCGACCACCTTGCCGTGTAAGCTATAGTTTTCAACTAGTTACTTCACCAACAGTGTCGTTGTCAAGGTACACAATGTGTCGTTGAGAGGCACTTTTGTCTAACAGAGCCGATCGAATTTGATCTTTTTTTTCATCAGCTTGGGTAAACATTTATTGCTAAGTTTAGACAATAAACTTATTCGTAACGACCAATGACAGTCCACATGTGTGAATAACTTTAAGCCAACAATAATGACAACCTAGGATTACCTTGTATTCTCTATATGCAAATACCTTGTCCCATGGGCTTTCGGGTAAACCTGTACGCTGTTTTGTACGCTTGTACACGAGTTTAATAGAACATTACAACACCTCGTCCTTCTCTACTCTTCACTCTTTGACATTTTAACTGTTAATATTGAAAGCAAGATGAATATCTCTTCAAACAATAAAACACTCAAAAACACAAGTGTGTTCCTTTCGGTTTTACTTTTAAGCCCTTTTAATGTCAGTTAAAGTCATTTCGGCCTGAATATTTGGATCAATGTGTCTATCTGGGATATCGTATACGATCTCATGACATCGTACACGATCTCATATCCAACACGTTTCATCTGATCGTACACGATCAGTTTCGTTGTGTGTAAATAATCGTACACGATTCAGCTTTGATATCGTACACGATCAGTTTCATTGCGT